TTTTTTTCATTATCTTGCATCCTTTATAGCAAGTAATCTTTTCAAATATTTACAGCCTCTAACTACTGGAACTCTTCCATCTATCTCCTCAGTGCTTGAGGCTATGATCGGATTGCTCGAGCATACTAATAGCACATGTGTTAGTTTACTCTACGATGAACTCCACGATGAGTGAGCTTTTTCATATTTTGTGTTCGTAAATAATAAGCAGCCGCTGTGATATATGTAAACAAACGCATTTTGGGAATTGGTTCTGCACGGAAAGTACTTTCTCTGAGGAAAAAAAACTTTGTTTTTTTTTGCAGTGTAAAACCACGTTTCTCCTCCATCACAGAGCTAAGCCGTTTTTAAAAAATGTTTTTAATTGGTCAACTTAACTTTAAATCGAAGCTACAGTTTCTACCATTTTCAATCCTTTTGCAGATCAGCCCATCTATTGTCTGAATTAGGAATGGTGAAAGGTATATGCCTCGAGCAAACAGTTGATCTGAGACGAGGATCAAAATCGGAGATGGGTAGCGCACTACGGAGGCAAGCTTGTTATAATTATCTCAAGATTTTTGGATTATAGATTTATATAGGTTGCTGCTCACTGAAGCTCGTGTGGTAATTGTTCTTTTGGGCGAAAAGAACTGGATAGAATTAATGAAAGCTCTAAGGACTGAATTGGTGGGTTACCTATTGGTATAAAATTGGCAGAATAGCACCACTACGTCATTGTAGGTAATTGCTGGACGGTTTATCTTCTTCTCACCACAAGAAGCCCGCTGGACCTCGTCAAAGCAATTTTTAGAGCAATGGCCTAATTTTGACCAACTACTCTTGACAGTAAGTTTAGAAAGGCAGCTTCTTCTATTTTTCCAGTAGCACAGCACCTGCTCCAGGTAACACCACAAAAGCCACCTGAACAGCTGCAATTGCACCAGTTGGCATCAAAATTTGCCAGCTTGCCATTTCCCCAACACTGGCTAAAGCAGTTCTGGGCAACTGCCTTTCAGTGCCATATTGATGGTGAAGTTACCGCAGGGCAGCAGTTTTCAAAGTATGAAAGCCGTTTTGTTGTATTAAGAATCTCAAAATTCACCTTTAACAACGTTTTAGAGAGTGCTCGCACAAGCAAATGCTCAACATCTCAGCTATCACACCGGATGTCGATATTGCTCCAGTCGCTATAGCGGTATTAATTTTACTCTCATTGCTTTCAGCCCATTTTAGCGAAAGTTCGCAAAAATAAAAAACTAAAAACTCTTCGGAAATTTCTGCGAAGTTTGTGAAGTAATAATTTATAATATTTTAGAGTAAAAAGCTAAAATTACCTATTACTATCGTCGGACGAAATTCAGCTTACTCGGACGGATACACACGTCATAAAATTTGAAATTTACCATATCTAAGAAAGAGAAAAGAGAAACGTTTAATGGCATGATTTCGCCTAGTTATAAGAATCATGG